CATGGCGATCTGGTGGTAGCCTCTGTATGCATCCAGAAAGCTAAGTCGGTTGTGCCCCGCCGTCAGGTCTACCAGTTGATCTATCCGTGGTAGAGGGAAGCTATCTTTTGGGTACGCCTTGTTGACTGTTTTGTAGTCGACGCAGACACGCCATTTGCCATTCTTCTTTGGCACTACAACAGTGTTGGAGATCCATTTTGGGTAGTGCACCTCTCTAATTGCTCCTGTCTCCAGCAGGTTACCTACTTCTTCTGCCACTATTTCGGTATGGTGAAGTGCTGATCTGCGAGTGCGCTGAATGACTGGTCTGGCGGATGGGTGGACATTGAATTGGTGACAGATGAAGTTTGGATCAATGCCTGGCATGTCGTAGGGTGTCCAGGCGAACACTTCAATGTTAGAGGTTAAGAATTCCAAGACGGCATTTTGTTTTTGCGCCCCTCTCCTGTCGCCACTTCTTTTTTCTTCATCTGGCGTTTCAAGGCCTCCATGTCCGCCGCCATCTTCCTTATCAATTCATCTTGCTCATTTACGCGGTCTTCCAGGGCTTGAGGATCAATCCTCCTCCTTTGCCTGTCAGGGCTTCGCGAACGAGAGTGACGGGGGCTATTAGTCCGTCTCCCCCTAGCATCCCTCATGGAGTTATGTCGTTGGGGCTCCAAGTCCGCCATGGGAGGGACAGAGGGTAATCCTTCACGCCTTGCGCCCCCATCTGGAGTTAGCCCGTCGACGGCGGACTGGGGTAATTCTTCAATGTGTGCCATTGTTTGAAAAGAGGAGAAGCTTGATCAAGAGGTTTTGTTCTGTCTGTCTTTGTAAGTGGAGGGGACCTTCAATACCCAGAACTCCACTTGTTTTGTTACACTTCCTGCTCTTACTGGGAGAATTATTTTGCCGACGGGCCATTCTGGCATGGAGTTGAATCCAATTAGGGGAGATACGGCAGGTGCCAAGTTTTTGTCTTGCAGCTTCAATTGTTTAAATGTTTCACAGTACATGATTTCACATGAACTACCCTGGTCGATCAGAATCCGCTTGACGTCAAAATCCTTGACTCGGAGAGTGACGACCAGGGCATCATTGTGAGGGCAGTAAATTCGCTCCAAGTCCTTATCCGAAAAGGACATGATGTTTGTTGCCTCTGTCTTCCCCTTCTTAAAGGCAGGTTGGGCACTTTGTGCTTCTCTAAAGTGCTCAGCCTTTTTGATCGAACCCTTGAGCTCGCATACACGCTTAGGTTCAAAGATTCCATGTATTACATTGATAATGGCTTGAGGTGGGGCGTCGATTGGCATTCCATTGGGGTTGTTATGATCCTGGGGGGCTGGCTGTGTCCTTCCTTCAATGTATTTGTCCAAGTGACCTGCTGCCACCAGTTCTTCCAAGTGCTGTCTCAGGGGCGTGCAATTCTCAGTTCGGTGCCCCTTTTCTTTGTGGAAGGTGCACCGTGATCTGTCGTCGTAGTCTTTCTGAGCTTCTCCTAGCTTGGCTGGCCACTTGACGAAAGACTCATCTTTTATTTCGCTCAGAATCCGATATATCAATTTTTTGAACACCGTTGTTATGGCAGTGCGGATTCTCAACCATCTTTTGTCTGGGTCTTCTCCGTTATCTCGTCTGCCACGTCCGTTTCTATTCTGCCGATCCACTGTGTTGACCTTTGCTGAGGTCTTCTTTTCATGAGCTTAGTGGTGACTAGATTTTTGCTTTGGCACGTGCGCCATCCTCTTCTACCCTGATGTGCTGATGCACTATCAGGGCTTCCATAGTGAGGGGTGGCGTCATGGTGATCGAGTCCCTCAGTCTGTTCCCAACTGGAAGGCCTCTTTTATATTGTGCAATGGCGAGATTGGTGGGGCAGTCCCCTATCTGATTGAATGTCTCCCAGTAGCGACTGTTGTAAGATCTGAGGGTCTCTTTTTCACCCATGTCGATGGAGAGAAGCTGGTCGATCTCCACCGGGGTTTTAGTGTTCGTTCGGAACCTTGTTACGAATGCTTCTGCCAATTGCGCCCAAGAGGCTATGCTGCCCTCAGGAAGTTTCTCGAACCAAGTCAGGCCGAGGTCGCCAAGACTTGATGGGAAGAGTATGCACATTAAGGCCTCGTTTCGCCTGTATACAGCCATAACTTGGCGAAAGTGGCTCAAGTGTGAGTAGGGATCCGTCTTCCCTTCATATGTAGTGAATTTTGGTTGAAGGAAGCCTGATGGTAGGGGTGCGTTTTCAATCACTGGAACAAACGGTGAAGTCTGTAGCCTTGCTAATGCCTTGTCCGTCGGTTCATAGGTAGGGCGCGGTATTGACATTCCAACCTCGACGCTTCTATGCGTCTGAGGAGCCAACCGCTATAAGGCCGAAACTCTGTGTGGATCCCTTGCCCTGGCATCCTTCTTGCATCGTGCCTTTTCTTCAAACACGGTTCGTAAGTCGGATGTTCTGGGTAGCTCCGTCTGTCTAGATCTGGTTTGGTGCGAATGTGAGGGCCAATTTGTGCTTCCTTCAGTGTATGATCTCTCAGATCTCGTCCTCTCAAACCTGGAGTGACGAGTTCTGGAAGACAAGGATTGAGTGTCGCCTGTCCTGAGCCTTCTGCTCTCTCATTGCGAGGGTGTGGTATTCCTACCATGACTTTCTGAGTGGCGAGGGGGCATTTTGTTTTTGCGCCCCTCTCCTGTCGCCACTTCTTTTTTCTTCATCTGGCGTTTCAAGGCCTCCATGTCCGCCGCCATCTTCCTTATCAATTCATCTTGCTCATTTACGCGGTCTTCCAGGGCTTGAGGATCAATCCTCCTCCTTTGCCTGTCAGGGCTTCGCGAACGAGAGTGACGGGGGCTATTAGTCCGTCTCCCCCTAGCATCCCTCATGGAGTTATGTCGTTGGGGCTCCAAGTCCGCCATGGGAGGGACAGAGGGTAATCCTTCACGCCTTGCGCCTCTATCTGGAGTTAGCCCGTCGACGGCGGACTACTGTAGTTCCTCAATGTGTGCCATTGATTGAAAAAAGGAGAAGCTTAGTCAAGAGGTTTTGTTCAGTCTGTTATTCCCACAGACGGCACCAATTGTACGGGAAAGAAATACAATTTCTCGTATAATCCTGTTGACTAAATCCACGCTCCTCCGTACGACGTCGCTTTATCACCTGAAAACACAAACGTGAGCTAGCCGGCGGGTGTGTGCCGGAAACCTCTCCGATGCCTAAGTCAAAAAACTTGACAAATAGACAAAGCTCTGGATATTCAAAAAGCAAAGTTGTGTGTTACGTCCTCCAAGGTGATGTTTGTGAGCTTTTTATAAGTTTCGAGTGACACAATCCTAGTAGGATTTCTATTCCTCCATGCAGAGTCCTCCTAGGATTCATACTCCTAAGGATAATGCTTATCCTTTTACACCCCCCCCACTGCTTAAACCAAGTGGGATGGTTTTCACCATGGCCGAACTGCCATACGACCGAAATAAACCTGGTTATACTGAGCCACAGAGTAGGTCGTACTAACAGTAGTTCGGTTCTTCCTCTTGCTGCACCATATCTCGGTTCTCTCATGCATGAACCATGGTGTGTTTGGACCGATCTACCGAGTAGCAACATTCCGACCGACCTACCCAGAATACATCATGACCGGACTATCTCTGAGACCGGCCTAACTCCAAATTGCACGAACCGAAGCAACTCAACATCTCTTCTGGGCCGGAGTAACTTTATCACTCTTGAACCGGAGTAACTTTATCACTCTTGAACCGGAGTAACTTTATCATTTTATTGGGCCTTTTTAACCAGTCCTTCGTACTTTGGGCCATAAAGTCCATCTCGCAGCTCGGCCCAATTTTTACCAAAAATTACCCTCTCACAAACAATCCCAACCCAAATATACCCTTAACCTATACATGTTGCCAACCACTCCTATAACTTATCCCTCACCATATGAATATCAAAGAAATGGGTCCGATATGAGACACAAATGTCTCAACTGTAACTTTCAGAATGTATTCCTTTAGATTTTACATAAACATACATGTTTGTCTTGTCTGATACAATGAAATTAATTGAATGAAGAAATAAACAATATTGTGAATTTAAATAATTTTTTTATTACAAAATTATTTGATTGAATTATATATATAATAAGTCCAAGTCATGATTGCATCAAAACTTTAACAAATGAAATTTAGATTACACTCTACTCTAGTTAATGGGAAATTCAATAGTACCCTAAGGCCATATTTGTTTGGGTAGACATGAGTTTAGAATTGGACTAATAGTCCAATAAAAATTATTAATCCGATATTTGGTTAAACAGTTGAAGTACAGACTAACAATTCATCCGGATATGATATCCCACATATGATAGACTATTTAATCCCACAGATGAGAGTGAGATATAAATTGAAAAACTAAGCCAAAGTTTGAATTATTAATCCCTTCTTATAATTCTAACTCAATCCAAACATAGGATATGATACACAATCCAAAGGGATTCGTAATCCCAAGACTATTAGTCATGGACTGCTAATCCAACTTAATCAAGTCCATCCAAACAAACATGACCTAAATTCAACCCAAATATTGTACAAAAGTTTAGGTATACTTTTATTGACAATGAACAATATTTATTAATTTTCAAAAATATGATTATTCTAACTTCATGCTATAGGTGGTAAGAGGGTTTTGAATTTAACACTGGCTCAATAGGAGCCCCTTATTACTAGCCTGAAATCCCATCATTTTTAAAACTTAAGAGGTACATGGAAGAAATAATGGACAAGGAGTGAGACAAACACGAAACACTAACGCTAAGAACATATATTAGAAATAGATAATAGATCACAAAAAGTGTATTGACAAATTGAAATTTATTTTGAATGCTGACCCATCATAACTAGGTTTAACCCTAACCATCAATTGCATTTTTTTGTAAATTATTTTGTGATCCATTATATGTTCCTAACATTGCTCGAGAGGAAATATAAAAAACTCCTACACATAGGGTCCCAAGTACTGAAGATTTTAACAATTTATTCCAATCATTCTGGTGTAACCAACTTCAAATAGGAAACTCCAAGGCCACTGCTTATAAAAATTGAAGGCAAGCATGAAAATGAAGACAGATCAACACTTTCTTGCAATCTCATTCTTTCTTTATTTCAGTTCATGCCACTAGTATATAAACAATAGTAATCTAAAGACCTGCTCAACCCCCAATACAATCACAAATCGATGAAAAGAATAGTCCTTTGGTATACCAACCCTTCAAATTCCCCAAAGAATGGCACCTCTAAAATCTACAATCCTAAAACCAAGTGTATATACATCAATCCCCCCTCCAATCTAATCTAGAGATATAGAATACAACATTCTTTTCAGATTTTACATTTCTCTGGAGGAAGTACATACATCAACATTTCAAGCCATCTATTACTTTCCTCTCAACAAGCAATTTAATCAGAAGCTCAGATGAATCAACTTTGGCTCCATAGTATATCAGCATAAGCTTTCTCATCTTTCCGCTCCTTCGCGACATAATCAGTTGCGTCCAAAACTTCCTCTTCTTCATCTGGGATCTCTTCTTCCATCAATTCTCCAGATGCAACTGCTTCCAGAGATATCTCTCTCTCCCATTCAGCCAATGCTTCTCTCATAGCCTGTTCTGTTGCTGGTGTGTTACTGGGTCTGTATTTCGGAGCAGGCACGACAAATGGCAATATGATATCCTCCAAACTCCTACTCTTATGGTTAGGACTACCGTTTGCATCTAATGGTGGAACGATGAAAACGATACCAAGCTTGTAGTTACAGACGTGAATTCTTGAACCCAATACAGAATTTGTCTTCACAGCTCCAACAGCCTTTGTCCTGAGTGGATTAGAAATTGGGCATCCCCAAGCAGCGGCACTGAAGTTATGGGACCCAGAATACACCCATCCAAAGGATGAAGCATCCTTCTTAGACTGGAAGCGTCTTCTGGCTACCTGCTTTTACCATACAGTCTCTCCTCTATTATCTTTTAACTACCAACTATTTTCAAAAACATAAATTGAAATAGAAATGACAACTAGGGAGATGTTTTAAAGCACAAGAGTACATAATGTGGCTTAAATTGTAACTTCACATAATACTAGGACATAACAACACAAAAAATACTGATTTTAGGGAAGAACATTCTTCCCATACGTCTATTATATAAAATTATTGTAAGACTACTCCGATACATCATATGGTGTGCAAATCTTTGAGATCACGATCATTCATGTATACATGAAAACCTAGGCATGATCTTGAGCACAAACTGAAAATCTCTTCTATATTCAATTCAATGTTGACACTTGGAAAATGAGAAGAAAAAAAAAGAAAAGAATAAAAGTGACAGAGATGGTATGGAAACAGCATCATGGAGAAATTAGGGCAAGGAAACAGCACTACAGATTGGAACTTCCTGTGCAAGAAGAGGAAGGAACATATATATACACATAGCTAGCACCACTGGAAATTGTCCAGGTAAATAAAATAAGCCTTAAGACTCCTCAAAAGTTGAGTCACGTTCCTAGTGTCCTTAATTGTAGCCACATGAAGAATTTTATAAGTAAAGACAATTAAAGATTGATAGAATTGAGTTGCTACGGGACTGTGGCTTAAATATGATGTTTGTATGTAGAATATATATATATATATATATGGCTAAAGTAACCAAAATTCATTAACTAAAAATGAAAGGGAAAACCCAATACAAAAAGGGAGGCGGTTACACCATAATAACCTTCAAAGACCAAAAAGGACAACTCCTATACATATGCCAAAAAGCCTTAGGATTCTTACAAGACAGAATTTATAAATTCAAAAAGAGTGTCTATGGAGGGCAAAACCCTCCCAAAAGACCAGCAATATAAAATGGACAAGAAAAAACCCTTGATTCTATGCACAGGTTCCTCAACACCTTTGAATATTCTTTGATTACGCTCCAAATAAGTAAGCTATATCAAGCAAAATTTTGAATGTAAAGGCCTTGCCAGATCAATTCAAAAAATTTGGATAAGGTTCTAAAAAGCGGTTGCGGTCGCCGTAATGGTGGCGGTGACGCGGTTGCGGTTGCGGGGTGTAAAGGTCGTAGCATAACGGTTGCGGTAACCGGAACCGTGAATTTTTTTATTTTTCGCACAATTTGAAAAAAACTTACCGATACGCACATTTTTTTCCCATGATCATATTTATTGGGTTTTAAAATAAATATTGATCAATTTTTGTAAATTTTTAAGTTTGATCCAATATATTTCGTATTTTTAAATCACTATAAACTGAGTTTTTTATATTTTATTTTCATAATTAATAACTTTATATTATACAAAAAATCAATCACTAACTATTATATATAAGATAAATAATGACAAAAGTAAGAGAATAAATAAAAGCTTAAATATATATATATATATATTTTTTTTTTAATCAAGCCAAATAGATAATGACCACACTTATTATTACTATTTTCAAACAATATATAGATAGACACACACAAATAAAATGGTTGAGTGATAGCAGCTGAATACAATAGCATAGGTCTTATAGCTTCAACAAATCAATAACATGTTCTTCATCTTCCCTCTTCTCTCTCTCTATCTCTTGCTTCTCCATCTTCCCTCTTCTCTCTCTATCTCTCTTCTCCCATTTTCAATTTTTTTTTTGCGTGTTTTTTCGAAAGAAGCAATTTGGAACCGTTACGTAACAGTGCGTAACAGGCCGTTGTGGCCATTATGACACCGTTACGACCGCTATAGCGGCCGCTACGGTTGACACACCTGGGAATCTCAATCACACTGCAAAAGCGGCCGTAACGGGTGGTGGCAACCACCACAATCGTTACGTAACGGCGTTACGTAACAGTTGCGGCCACTTTTTAAAACCTTGAATTTGGATGTCAACATTTATGCTTTCAGGTGATAGCTTTGTAGCAGAACAGTCATGGTCATTGGTTAACAAAGAATTGTAATTTTCCCTTCTTTTGTGGGTTGGGTTCTGCCTTTTTGCCACAACAACTTCTCTCTGGAAGTTAATTTCAATGCAAGGTCAATTTGTATTAGCAATTTGGAAGGTGATTAACAGGCTATTTGTTAAAAGGCAGAGAACTCTTGATGCAATGTCAAATAAAAGAAAGAAAACATTTAGAAAGACTCTCTTTAAAACAGAGTTTGCATTTTGCCCAAGTGGTTATGGATTTTGTAAAACAAAAAAGGGTTTTCGGACAAGGGTCTGGATGATTTAGTAATGAGAGTAGTGATTGAATTCATAGGATGTTAAAAAATATCATGAGATGGTAATCCAGCAGAATCCTCAGAAGTTGGACGCTCCAGACATGTGATGTATGTTTCAATGCGAATTGGCTACTTAACACATAAGTTCGTAGGAATTGAGCTGAGATCCATTATGGTTGTCATTTGAATCAAATAATCGCCGTTCCAGAACAGAATGTTAGATTTCCATCTCATAAGGTAAGTTTTCCATTTGGCCTCTTTTTTTCTAAAGGTGACAAGGGTACATGACATCCTACCAAGATCTCTTCAGCAATGTGAATAAGACTGCATTCACCCTAGGTGTACATCTGCGAATACAACCGTTTAGAATGGCAGGGGAATCCATAAGAAATAGAAGAATGCACTCAACTTCACGAAATAAACTTAATATGGCTTTGGATCACTTGTTCTTGCATTGTCATGTGGCTTTGATCTATAGCATCATCTCTTTCGTCTGGTTGATGTCCAATGGATGGCTCTGGGAACTTGTCTAATATTGATTTCAATGGATTTTCCAGACTTTGGAAGTATGATGAAAGCAAAAGTGATGTGGCATTGTTTTTTGGGGGTTTTGGTTGGAAATGAATGCAAGGATCTTTGAGGAAAAATTTGATGATACAACATCCATGTGGGAAGAGGTGGTTTTTTGGCATCGTTTTGGACTTCCATTTCGACTCCTTTTAAGGGGATTCCATTTTTTAATAATTTTACTTCTAGAGATTGAAAAGTGCTATGTAATGATTAAATTGTTTCTTAGTTTTGGTGATTGATGTTTTCTCTTCTATTTTAGAGGACAACTTGCCCTCTTTTTGTACTCTTTCCTTTTTAATAAAATTTCCTTTTGTTGTCGATCAGGAAAAAAAGAAAGAAAGAAAAAAGAGAAAGGAATCTAGGAAGAGACAGACTTCAGAACAATAGGGTGGGAGTGTGTTTACCTTGACATGCATGGGATGATTAACTCTGTTGTTGGGATAAGGAATCGCATCATGAAGCATGCCTACGTTTCTCAACCTTTGCCATGTTTTTTATAAAAAAAACAGCATTCGGTAAATTACGTGTTAAAAGGAAAATAGAAATAAAAAATAGGCAATTGATTATTAAACAAGATTAAATGAGCGAGTCTTCACTAAGATGATAATGGAGAAGTCACAGCTGCAAAAAAAAAAAAAAAAAAAAAAAAAAAAACTGTTGTATCTTCATTTTTTATTTTTTTGATGTCATAGTTGTAAACCATATTGGTACTAACATTCAAGGGTTTAACAGGAAAAGAAGACAGATTTTATGTTTCACTTGAAAGCACTACTGATTTTGATATTTGCTTATTTCCACAAACCCTTATCCATACCAATTGAAGTGGCAGGCAGTCACCAATCCCACATGGATTTAAAGATGCTTTTTTTTTTTTTTTTTTTTTTTTTTTTTTTTGTGCATTCAGAATATATGTTTTAACCAGGCTAGATATGAGATATTCCTCATAAACCTCCGTAGGGCTGTGTGGGACTTAGTTGCACACCTATACTTTTATCCCATACCTTAATGAAATATAAATAATCAGGAATATTTTATTAATAAAACAAACAAACAAAGCAAAATAACACATGGAAGCCAGTTAAAAGGTAATCAAAAGGTCAAAGGTCAAGATACCTGTGAGAAACACAGAAGGAATTTTGAAGCTAAGATTCCACAACTCGCATTTTTCACTCTTTCAATTGTGGGAAAAATGATTCTAATGGATGGGTTTCTTATCTCTTGACTTGCACTCCAGCAGCCCCACTGTAAACAACTAATAATAAATGAACTACTAATTCCAAAGATTAAAGTATTTCAGATTTTAATTCATGCTACACGAACAACAAATAGTAAAAGTTTCTTACATCTGGATCAGACTCATCAGATTCAGAGAACTACACTGATGTCTTTCCAGATGCTGCTGAAAATGCAGCTAAAAACTGTGCAGTGACTGACCCAATTGAGGATGAACCTTGACAACAGAACAGATAAGTGAACTGAGATAAATATATTTCAAGTTTCTGGAGAAGAGTCTAGTATTATACAAGAAAACACTCACCGAAAACAAAATCAGTTTCCAAATATTCTGGCCATTTGTAATGACTTAAAACCTGATACAAACAAAAGAAACAAAAAGAAGATAAATGTCAAACTTAAAGGAACATAAGGATAAGATGGCCGTTTCGCGGACAGGAACAAATGCATACTAATCAGATTGAATTTTTTAAAGAACTGTTAGCTTCAACCATGGTTGTTATAATCGAACGATTCACGATTTGATTCATACGATTCGATATAAGTTTCAACAAAAAATTATTCGAATCATGCTGTTAAATTGGAAATTGAGTGAATCGTAAGATTCCATTTATAATTCAATGCAATTCACTACGATTTACATGATTCACTGCGATTCAATACTACTTCTATTTTTGTTTTCACCAAACTATGAAAATATATAGAAGAGATTAATTAATTATATTGATATACATGATTTTATATGTATATACATATATATAATTTAGTCCTATTGATAATTTACTTTATTTTAAACACTGTACGTATTTATATTATGTATATAAATACATAGAATTATCAAGATTCACTATTTTAGCAAAACGATTCACAATTTGATTTTCGATTTGGCAAAAATGGCTTCAACAAGATTCAAATTGAACTTTTTACTTTGATGCATAATCCCAATATTTAGTACTCTAATTTTTATTTTTTTCCCGCTTTTTAGTTTAATAATATAAAACTTCCAAGTAGTCACCAATTTAAGGTGCTTTTGCTTGCTCAAGTAGTTTGATAGCTCATTTTCTCATTACTTACCATGAAGAAGAGGCACATAAAATTTGATGGAAACTTTAATGTTAAAAATAAAACAAATCTTAATACTGTTAAGCAAAGTCCCCTATCACTTGGGTACTAAAGTACTTGAAAAATCTAGAAATCCCCTAGATATTGATTTGTATTGATTGTTTGATTGGAATTGTTGTTTACTACTTAAAATTGATACATAATCACAAATCAATATCTAGGGGATTTCTAGATTTTTCAATTGGTATCAGAGCAGGTCGTTCTATTTTTTAAAAAAAATTCTTTTAGAACGAGATCTTGTTTGAATTGTGATAATAGATTCAATTCGTGAGGGAAATTCGATGGTTCGACCACCCCTACTTGACGGATCCAATTATTCTTTTTGGAAAGCTCGGATGAGATCGTTTTTGAAATCTATAGATGAAAAAGTTTGGCAATCTGTCATGAATGGGTGGACCGAACCAACAATTACCATTGATGGAGTTACAATCCCCAAACCAATTGATAAGTGGGACACAATTGATTACCAAAATAGTAGCTGGAATAGTAAAGCTATCAATTCTCTCTTTTGCGCTGTTACACCTGAAGAGTTTAGTCGAATTTGCAATTGTGAAGTCACAAAAGAGGCTTGGGATATCTTACAAACTATTCATGAGGGCACTCTTTCTGTTAAACGCTCAAAACTTCAAAGGCTTACGTTTAGTTTCGAAAACCTTTCAATGAAAGATAGTGAGACTTTTGATGAATTTTATGCGAAGTTTTGTGACATTGTAAATTCCAGCTTCAATTTAGGTGAAAAAATTCTAGAATCCAAATTTGTGGGAAAAATTTTGAGATCCTTGCCCGATCGGTTCCAACCAAAAGTTACGGTTGTTGAGGAGGCTCAAGATGTTGACAACCTTAAGCTGTATCAGTTGGTTGGAAATCTCCAAACTTATGAGGTACACAGGAATTTCAAAAAGAAAGAAAAAGATATTGCTTTTAATAGTGCTCATAGAGTTGGAGAGGATTCTGATGAGGATTGTGAGATAGATTCCAAGATTACGGCTGCTTTTGTTAAACAATTTAAAAAATCTTTTTTGAAAAAGAATCCTAATCTTTTGGAATCTACTCATACTCATAAATCTAAAGGCAAAGATAAACTCAAAATTAATTCTATAGCCAAAAAGGAGAAAGGAAAGATATAAGGAAACTCTGAAAGACTTAAATGCTATGAATGCCAAGAATTTGGCCACTTTGCTTCAGAATGCCTTACTCGTTTGAGGAGGAAGAAAGCCCTCGCCATCACTTGGGATGATGAATCAGAATCTGATGAAGATGAAAGTGACAACGAAGATCAAGGCGAAGAGGGACATAAACAATTCCTTGCTTTCATGGCGGCTTTCGAAGCTGAAGGACAAACAGATTCTCCGAAGATGTCAGTTGAGAATATCACTGATGATGAATCCTCGGAGAGTGATCATGAAGAGCTTGAGCAAGCTTATGAAAAGTTGTATAAAGAGTCTCTTAACTTATTCAAATTGAATGACCAACTCACAAAGAAACTCAAAGCATGTGAAAGTGAGAATGTCAAACTTAAGGAGGAGATTTCCGAGGCCAGGATTAATGCCATCAAGGTAGCTGATGATCGACAAGTTCTTTGTGCAAAACTATTGACTTGTGAGACAGAGAGGAATGAGCTACTGCAAACCCATGCCATGTATGAAGAAAAGATTGAATCTCTCGAGATGTCACAAGTTGCTTTGGAAGAACTAATGATCAAGAAAGAGGAAAAGCTCAAGTGTGCTATGGCTACCATTGGTCTTCGGAACAAAGGATCAAAGACTTTGGAGGATATCATTGGGTCTCAACAAATGAGTTGTGACAAGAGTGGCATTGGCTTTGGTGGTAAGAAAGAGCAAAAACAGAGTGCTTCAACATCTCATGATACAAGAACTCAAGGAAAGGGAGAACAAAAAATTCAACATAAGGATGGACTTCTTAAACTTCCTAGAGTTGGTAAGGTAAAAGAAAAGAAGGTACACCCTGTTTTATTTGTCATCATTGTGGTATGCATGGTCATATTCGCCCTTATTGTTATAAGTTTCATGAGAGAGTGTATTTGCCTAGACCTAAAAATAGGATGTTGGAAACCAAGTCGAGACGGGTTCTCGTTGAAAGAAAAGGGAACCCAAGAACTGCACTTCTCGCAATTTTGTTCATACTAAAGCGGTTTGGGTGAGAAAACTTGACTTGTGTTAATTTGTTTATTTGTTTTAGCTTTTGGGTTTCCGTGTGTTTTTTTTAATATTAAAAAAAATGTGTGCATGTTCTTTTTTTTGTCTTGCTTTGGTTAAGAAAAAAAAAATTTATAAAAAAAAAAAACCAAAAAGATTTTCTTAGTATGGTTTTGCAAGCTTGAAATTTTTGAGTGGTCCTTGGTGCATATTGGAATTGATGAGAATATCCATTACATGTTAATATATGTGAGCTTTCTGTGATCATTACTCGTTTTGGAGTGTGTGTTTTTTGATTAATATGTCCCATTCTGTACACACTCTTGGATTAGCAAATTTTGGAGTCTTCCGCCTTAGTGATTATTTTTTTATGGACTTCTGTCATTGATCTTTTGCGTTTCTAGAGGAATTGACCTATACTAGCATATCATGGGTGATGTTAAGTCTCTTAACCACCTACCATCTTTTTGCATCTTCATGGCTTTCCCCTTAATTCTTTGTAGTCTAGCCATGAGGAAAAGGCTACATCAGAGTCACCAACCAGGCCATCCTTATTATATCCATGCTTCTCTGGTTCGGTTTCCATACTCTTGAGCGTGTCAGCCGCCAATGATTGTGCAAAAGAAAAAGAAAGAGAAAAAGAAAAAATATGCAAAAGAAAGAAAAAATGTGCAAAAGAAAGAAAAAAAAAAGAAAAAGAAAAGATTTATTGATTGAGGGGAAGCCTCCGCTTTTACTCACCAAATACCCCTTGATTCCTAGTGGTTTGACTTTCCTTTGTTGTGCTTAGATTCTCTTGCCAGAGGTCCAGCTTTCATAGCACTACTAGGATTGAATCTAGTGTTTGTCGAACTTCAAGAGTCACACACACACTTTTCTCATGGGATCTATGCTTTTCACATAATGCATCACTTTCTTTCATGAGGAATATTCTACAGACTGTGCACATTGTGTTTACTAGTAATTGTTCTTCTTGGATAATCTTGTGTGTTTTAAGGTACAAATCTGAAATTCCTTGCTTG